CTTGCACCACCTCCACTTTCTCCAGGGAAGCCCATTCCATCCTTCCATCCCATTCTGGGACAATAGCCCAAGAATGCCATACCTGCATGACCAAGGCCCCGACGGTCGATCTCCCCACGCCAAACTGGTTCCCCACGAATTGGTAGCTGTCCAGCGTGGAGAGCTTCCAGAGATGGATGACAGGTCTCATGTGCGTCTCTCATCGCCTCAGGGCAGGGGCAAGCCACTCACAGAGCTCTATGAAGGTGTCCTCTCTCATTCTGAAGTTCTGGAGCCATTGTTGTTCTCCCCATCGCTCTAAAACAACATGGTCCCACCAGTCTGCACTGGTGTCCAAATGTCAGATGCAGCGGGGCACGGTGTCCAGGGGAGGGCGGCAGGATTGAGCTGCAGGAGCCATACCTGCTCACATCTTAGGAGGGTTTCCCACAAGGGCTCGGGGTTGGGTTCCTGCATTGCCTGGCAGGCTGCATGCAGAAACTTCTGCATGACTTGCAGCAAAAGTTGCAAGAGCTGAAGACTGCTCAGAGGCAGCTCTGGCTCCAAAGCAGAGAGTGCTGTGGTGTCCAAAAGCAGGGCAACTGGAGCATGCAGAGAACATGCTGTGCTGTCCCTCAGAGAGATAGGCAAACAAGCAGGAAAACCTGAGAAATGTCTGTCCAGGGGGGTCCCTTTAAGCACAAGCTTCAGATAGCCTCAAGCTGCAGCCACATGAAGTAACTATGGCCCTGATGCCATGAACTGGTTCCAGGTGGCCTTAAATGCGATTCAGCGTGTGGATGCTCTATTTAGAAATAGCTAAGCGCTATTTCAATATGGATTTTATGTATAGATGCGCTCTTTCAAAATAAGCTATTCCGGAAAAATCTCTTCCGGAATAGCTTATTCTGAAATGACCTGTGCAGCGTAGATATAGCCAATATGTCCTCTTTGCAATTTTCTCATAGAAATCCACACTTTGTTGCTGCAGAGACAGCAGGGGGAGCTCCTACCACCATCACATCAGCGTGTTGTATTTCTCAAAATCAGTTGTGAGAAACCGTTAATTGGGACTCTCTCAGAACTCAGTCAAGATATTAACCCACATTCTTTTTGGTCATGTGAAAAAATGAGTAAAAATTACTTTTTACTTTATCTTAATTCTACACTTTGCAAGTCTTACATTAAGAATTTGAGGATTCTTTTAATAGTTTCTGCTATTGTTTGATGCTTTGTTCAAATTCTCATTGCTCAGTTATAAAGATATTTTATCACTAGCAAAAGGGAAAAAAATGTTTTGTGCTTTCCCCCTGCCCCATCTTTGTGGTGCATAAAGGAAACATGAAAGATTTTTCCAGAGAGTTTTCTTATGCACTGGTTTGATTCAAGATTAGTTTTCCCTAGTTTTGCTGGCTCATTAGAGATATCAAATGTACGTTAGTGAAGAGGAACACAGTTTTGAATCCTTAGCACAGATATTTTTAACAGTTTCCCAGACATTTGAATTAAATACATTATTAAAAATCCTCTTTGCAATGGCTCAGCATTGTCTCTTGTGAGATCATAATTCTACTTTAGCTCCCTAGTCATCCACAGAGTTCACAGGATAGAGAAGACCTCAATTTTTAATGTAAAAACCATCAGAAAAACATACACTTTTCAGGCATTCTTCATGTATAAAAAAAAGAAGAGAGGAAATGTGTTTTTAAGGAGACATACATAACTGCTCAGGAGCACACATCCAACCCACCAACAATTTTCTGGCTTTATGGAATACTTCACACAAATATTTTCTGTGGATTGGTTTAAAAACAAGCAAAATCCTCAGAATAGCCACAAATTGTAAAGCAAAGAAAGCATCCACACTATTCCAATGGTTTCCACTATTTCCTTCTGAATAGTTATATGTGATAATTACAAAGCTAGTTGGAGACAAATGTAATGCTGGGTGAAGCTTGTCCGGTTAGGACTGCAAAAACAAATCCAGATTTTACTGCTGATGTTGCAATGCTGAAGGTGGATGCATTGATTGGTAAAATACCAAATTCACAAGGCATATAGACTAATTTCTTCCTGGTGCAAGCAGCAATTTGGCACCTCTTCTGGCCTCATTCACAGCAATCATTTTGTTTCGCTCCATTTCCTTGATACATAAAAGTCACAATGTTATTGAAGAGATATTCCAATAAGATCTGCGTGAACAACCCAGGATGTTGTGCACAAGCACTTGAGGTGTACAACCCAAAAGTGTAACACAAACCAGACCATGAAAGCAACCCAATGAAATGTAAAACTCAACTTAGCAGGAAGTCTCCCTCCCAGAACCTCCTGTTATTTTTCATTGAGTACTTCATATCTCGGCTTACATCTTTGTTTTACTAATTAGAGTGCATTACAGATTAACCCTTTGTTTTAAAAGGGTTTTGAATTTGGCAATTGAAGGACTAATTCTTTTCTTTCAGGCTTCATTTGTTCGTAATCGTGAAGCAAATGGGAAGCTCTGCACCATGTGATCTGGGGAAAACAAAACATTGCATTTGAAGGCAACTATTGGACAATAAGATTAAAAGCCACCCATTATGATAGGTCTTAAATTGAAAAGTCAGTCCAGGTTATGTAGATGGAAACTAAAGAACTAACCCCTCTTGACTGAAGTAATCTTCATGCTACTCACTCACAACATGTCTTGTGAGGTGCTGGTCCTACAATAGAACCTAACACTTTCAAGTCCCTGGTCAGTTGCCAGCAAATTGCTGTTTATTGGAACAGCTAATCAGCAGTGCTGAAATAATTTTTATAGTTGGGGTGCTGAGACACATTGAATGAAACTATAAACCCTGTTATACAATGAAACCACTTCAAACCAGAATGGTGGCAACACCTCCAGCACCTCTAATTGCAGCACCTATGCTGCTAATATACTCCCTACATTAGGGAAATTATGGGAAAGATTTCCAAGATTGCTTATGCATGGAGCGAAATACTTATTAGCAATGTCATCCATTTAAATATTCATCTAAACTTGCTCAGAGGAAATATAATTGACAGTGCTTAAAATCACTAGCTGCGCAATTCCATTAGGGCTCCCAACATTATTGACATCAGCAGAGCTGAACAAACATTAGTGGAAAATTTCTGCAAAATTCTTCCAGTGCAGATAAGGCTTTTAAAATGTTTTAGGTAACCTTCGCATGTCTTGAATGATGTCTTGCCACGTTTCCTATCTGGATGAATCTACCATTAATGAAATGTTCCTCGCTACATTCTTAGCATACTGCCTGAAAGAATTTTCACCCTTCTGTTTAACTGCAATTTCTTCTTTATTACTTACATATTGAAGCCAACTACTGACAAAAGCAGCACCAACAGTGCTGGAAACCCCAGTGTCAACTTTTGTTACACTGACCAGAAGATTTTTCACTCTTCAAGACTGTACTGCACAAAGCTACTTGCTTTCTTGTTAAACTCTTTAACTAGCTAGAATTTCAATAGAACATGAAAACAAGAGAAGATGCTAAAAAGTGTCTCAAATGATCAAGAGGGCATGCAGTCATGGAATGGTACCGTTCCCGTGTACTGGTTCTTCCAGATTTGATGAAGGACACATGTTGAGAGGCTACTCAATGAGAGTTTCCCTGGAATTGGGGCTTTAGCTACAAGAGTAGCTTTATTTAGGTGATATGACTGCAATTTTTCACTGTTACTCTGTTGAAATCTTCGTTGCAAAGTACCATAAACATAGGGGCAGAGTTAAACACATACCATTTCTGATTTTTGCAGTGCTTAACCACACAACTTTGGCACTCTCTTGTTTACAGGACTGTTTTTTTACCAAAAATATAGAAAAATGCATAAAGGATCTGTAGGGATGAATAATGAAATTGCCCTTTTAATGAATTATAGCTACCAATGCGATGTTATGTAGCCACATGAATTGTGGCCCAATTTTTATGAATGGGATTTGGATTAATTTGCTAGTAACCTGTTAGGAATTGCAGTTGAAGAATCTCTTATTGTGTAACTTTTTTATACATTGTAACTGAAACCCCATTTTAAACTTTGTACTGCCTAAACTTTATTTAAAGTTAGGTGTGTGTACATATGTAATCTGATTTAAAAGTGTAAATGTGAGGGGGAAGGGTGTGTAAAGGGATCAGTCCCTGAAACCAACCTATCTGGGTGACCAGGTGCCAGCACCACCTTGATGACAGAACAATGCAAGTGAGCCCTGCAAAAGAACCCACCCAAGACAGACAGACAGAGATACACAATCCCCATCAACAAAAGAAGATCAAAGTCACATCTGCTGTTAACTGATGACTCATGGTAATACAGTACTCAGGGACAGGATTTTTGGACTAAAATAAATAAAAAGATGGGTGCAAAACTATAGGATTGGGTCTTTTGGTTCTATCATCCTCCAGGAGCATCAGTGCATATCAACATGATCCAGCTCCTCTCCTCATGTCTAGACCACCTAGCCAGTGCTTTAGCATAAGCAATTGAGGCTTGTGATTATATCCCATCTTTAGATATGTGTATGTGTGGTGGATAAGTTTAGTATCTGGGGGACAGTAAATGAATTTGCCTTCACAATAAATGCAGCATATTGCCTTATCCCCCAAATAAGATTATGCTAGTTCAATTTCTACAAGTTTAATAGATATACACTAAAGACACTGTAGCTCTTCTGGTTGCCAGATTTGACAACATTGTGAAATTTCCAGGAAATTTATTTACCTGGATTCCACCAGCACACCCTTTCTCCATGCTCTTCAAGACATCTGCAGGAGAAAGTCCCACTGATGCAAACCATAAGAGCTGTACAACTCTTAAGATACGTCACAACAGTGCTGTTTTCTGGGTGCAGCAGCCAAAAGTAACCCCTTTATACCTTACAAAGTCCACAGGACTGTGGCAGTGATTAAGGTCCTGCATCCAATACAAAGTGCTCAGCAGCCCCACCTATTATTTCACAGGCAAATGAAAACGAGACAGACGGAAAGGGATGCTCCACTTACGGATGTGGTTTCATTTCGATGTAGTTCTTGGGAATGAAGCCATCTTTCCCATTGAGTTCTGCCTTGTACCAGTTCTGATCACATTCTTCATTCAAAACCTGTAGGAAATGAAAAACAAACCAATTTTTTTTTTTTACCATATTTCCATATACATCAAAACTGGCAGAACTGTGCTTAGGAAACCAACATGTTCTTATGATGCCTATTTCAAGAGAGGTATATCTGCTATTCTGCCCCAATCAACCCCATGCATTGTAAGAGCTATAGCAGGTAGAGTGAAGGAGAAAAAGTCACTTCAAATTATCTGAAAAGTCTGTGTTGAAGTTGGGAGGCTATGGCAGGCTTGCCTGGATCTCCTACCCTGCGCTGGGGAACCCGTGCTGGCATGGAACAGGAGCACAGAAAAACTAGTAGGCTTTGGTGTGCAACAGGAATATGGGGAGTATCTTTCTCCTTCTCAGACAAGGAGCCACGTCAGAGGGTTTTTTCCCTCTTCTCACTTGTGTGTGGCCCAACAGATTTTTCTGTGGGTCAGTGGCCCCCAACACAAAAAAAGTTCCTCACCACTGAGCTACAGCTATGCTACAGCTTAAGCAGACATAAGTTATGTTACTTGGACTGTGAATTAGCCTCCCACAAGCAACATAACTTAGGTAGATTTAAGCACTGGTGTGGACAGTGGTATGTCAGTAGTATGTCAGTAGAAGAGCTTCTATCTGACAGGGCTGCAGCTTGTTGGTGGGGGGGCAGATTGAGTCAACAGGAGAGCTCTCACCTATCCACTTCCACCATTTGATCTGAGGAAGTGGGTCTGGCCCACGAAAGCTCATTGCCTAATAAACCATCTTGTTAGTCTTTAAAGTGCTGCATAGTCCTGTCTTTTATCCTTGATAGCTTACAGAGAAGCAGCTGCAGAGGTGCAGTTGTGTCATTGTAAGCTTTCTGATGTAGACACAGCCATAGTCTGTAAGTTCCATATTTACCCTCAGCAATTTCTCAATCAAGTTCAGTTTATAAATCCAGAGAATATTGGCTTAACTGCCACCACTGCAAACTTGAGATCTGAGAAACAAGCTATAGTCTCCCTTTTACCAACCAACAATTATTCATCTAGAACTTAGCAATTGTGACAATCTAGGCAACTAGGATTCCATCCATCTCTCTCGTGTAATTGCACTGGATCCACAGGATTTTAAGCAGTGCTTATATTAGGGAATTTAAAATTCTAATAGTAGCACTGTTGGAAGCCCAAATGCAAATAGGACTGGCAGCTTCAGAACTGGTTTACTTGTATTTTTTTCTTTTACCACTAATGTTAAACAAACCACGTGAATAGAGAGTACCAGTGATTTTTTTTGGTAAAATTCCCTAGTGCAGACAAGCATACAACAATTAAGTGAGTCAATGGAATTCTGGTATATTATTAGCCAGTGTAGGAACATGAAGGTACCACTTTTAATATGCACTTTTCTGACTATGACAACACTTTAAATTACCACAAGACCAGAAAGCCATAAGGGATGAACTTGTATTAATGAAGGACAATAGAGAGCATCAAGGGCACGGTCTGTTTTAAGTGTAAAGGCTTTGGATCCCATTGTTTTTTGTTGAATTTATTTCAAAGGGATTTGATGGATAAGGCAGGAAGAAGCAAGACCTAGGCACTTTGGCTAAAAGTTGATTTTTCCAAAAGATAACTTTCTGTAAGGCAAATTCTAACTACATTAACATTTGACAGTACATTTACCAGCACTGACAATTTTTACTTGGTTTTAGAAATCAGATTAAATAAGATTACAAAAAAAAAAATCAATGTTCATTTGTATGTATTTTTACTTTTGTCAATATCCCACCAGCTTTTTTATTCCCTCCCAAATTACCTCTCCAGAGATATTTTCTCCTGGATGATACAGAATGAATTACTAACAAAAAGCAGTCAATCTAGAAGATTAAAAATTCAAAGATGGCATTGGTCCTTTACAATTAAAAGTACCATTGGACTAGCTGGCTGCCTTGGTAGATGAAGTGTAGGAAAGGCAAAAGAAAGAACAGGACATACATATCATTAGGCTCTAAATAAGGTCTACTGCTGCACCCAAAATGAAGTTAAGCAGTTCTATGATTTTCTATGATGAAGAAAAGCTCTCACCAAAACTCTGTTTTCACTCTCAATTATTTTCACTTCTGAAGTTTTGCCCATATAATCACTTTTCTCTTGCCCCTCAAAAAATAGATGGGAGAGGGAAGCAGAATTACACAAAGTAAAGCTGTTAGCACATACCTCAGCAAGGCCCTTGTAGCCGATGAGGACTATGCAGAAGATTAACAGTTCAGTGTGGCATTTTAAAAAACCTAATCCACTCCAATAGCTAGGTCTGGAAAAGAAGGAAACGCCTCTCTGGATTGAACTGGGCCCTAGTAGACAACAGTAAAATCTGAATAATTACAGGTTGGACCTTCCTGGTCCAGTGCCCTTGGGACCTGACTGGTCCCCGATGAGGGATTTTGCCAGACCTGGGGAGGCCATTTTTGCATCCCTACCACTGGCCTCCTTGGCCCAGCTGCTAGCCTCCCAGCCGGCTCCCCACCTCCTGCTGGCCCAGCTGCCCTGCTGGGTAGCCATCACTGCTGTGTCTCTGCCAAGCAACCCAGCACTGGGGCTCCAGGCAGCAGCGTGCACCGTGTGCTGGGACTCGGGACAATTGCGTGAGCCACAGCTTTCTTAACAGCCTTGTGCAGCATGAGCTGGGGCTTCCAGAGCAGCCGTGCACCCCACTCTGGGGCTCTGAGAGCAGCCCCTGGCACATTGCATGCTGGGAGTCCCTGGGCAGCCACTCGCCAGCTCCCTGTGGGAAGCCCATTGCCCTGCCAGCCAGGAGAGATCCTTACTGTTGGCCCTCCACGGGGACTCTCTGATCCTGCAACATCCATGCTGGACCAGAGAATCCTGGTTAACAGTTTCAACCTGTATGACTGATTTTAGTGAGAGAGTAACTGCTCTCAAATAATAATGGATAATCATCTAATGGCCAGTTCTTAATGCTAGCATTACAACGCAGACCAAAACTATTCATTAGATGGGCGTTGAGCAGCCATGCTCTGTCTGCACAGAAAGGGCTGACCTTCTATGAGACAGACTCAAGAAATAAGAAACCTCATGAAAGTGCATTCCCAGATAATTGTGAAGGATTTTTTGAAGCTACTCCTTTGTTTTGTAAATACTGTTTTAGTGTTTCTTAGGCTCCAGTTGTTATACACCTTGGCAGCCATCAGAATGCCATGAATGAATATTGACTGAGAACACACATTTATTTTTTCATTATAGAATCTATGACAGATCAAATTGTTGAGAAGCTCTTCTGCCAAGATCCCCTTACACGGGATTTTTTAGTTTTATAGCATGTAGCTGAGGAACAAAACAGACTCCTCTTCCCTCCTCAAACAAAAACACTGAAGATTTATAGATGGATCAGTATTAAGAAATCCCTGCAAAACTGAAAGGACACATTAAAATTTGAAATTCTAATATTCAAACATACATGATTTGAATATACTCGCTCAAGAGCTCTGCTTAGATATGGAGAGCCATGTTGTATGTGCCTTAGGGTACTCATTAACATTTGGCCCAGAACCAAATGCCAGGATTGGGGCATTGCTGAGGGTTGTATTAATGATAGCAATTACACACAACTGGTCTTTGCTCCTGAAGGATGTAAAATCTGTCAGACTTCTATGCAATTATGTGACTCCAAAGGCAATTATGTACAATAAAAAAAACCAAAATCCACAAAGCAGGAGTTAAAGAAATATTTTAAAAGTGATTTAGTGCCAGGCAGTGGAACTGTCCAAGAGAGCCAAAAGCCAAATAATTAGTTCAACTAACAGCAGCTCTTTTAGGTAGGCCCAATTTATCCCACAATTCTGCAACCATGGAATCTACCCCTTACCACAGAAGCGTGCTACAAAATTGTAGCTTTTATCTAAAAAAAATTACACTTTTAATATTCATGGATGAGAATAAGACCAGGATAAAAGAACTGAGTGTAAATGTGATTAGAGAGATTGATGAAACCGGGAGGGTGTTTCCCATTTTCAGTGACAGGGCAAGAAGTTTTGTCTTGCTCTCATTGGAGGAGATTACTGACCTCATTCCAAGCAGAATGAAAGTAGGAAACCACGAGGGAGGGGGAAGAGAGTTGCTGTCTTGTTACCACAGAAAGGGGGGATGGATGTAAATTGGCGATAGCAAGAGGAAAATAGGAGGCAGTGAAGTAAAAAGGCAACTGTCCTGCTCTGAATGGTCAGCAGGGGAGTAACAAGGGAAAACAGGGGACCCCTGCCTAGCTAATTCCACAATGGGAAGGCTAGGGGAGAAGCTGCTGCTCTGTTAGAAGTTCACAGGTTAGGGGAGGATCTGGGAGCAAAGCAGAGAAGCTGACCCAATCTGGCAGTGCCTGTAACTTACCCAGCTTTTTCCACGTGGCTGGTGGCAGGCAATGAAGCACTGATCCACCCCTTCAGCCAGCAGCTCCAGCTCTACCACAATCTGGGTCACATGATCCTTCAAGTATTTCCTGCCTCCCTGACTGGAGAACTCCCTCATCTCCAGTGAGTACACGAGGGTGGGAAGGGAAGGACCGGAGTAGAGGCTGGAGCCAGGTTCCGTTCTCTATTTATAGGAGCTTCTGCTCCTCTTCAGTGAGAGGGTGAGTGTCCCGCTGCCCCCTTCCTCAGCTGATAAGCAGAGCTCCCTGCCTGCACAGGGAGCTCTGAACCTCAATGCATGGCTCAGAAAAGGGCTGAGTGGCTGCACAGATGCACAGCTTAAAGAGAAGATTGGTCTTATCTCTTCCAAGACTGCAGATAGACTAAAACAAAAGCTCTGAGGAGTAGGAACAGACCCAAATGCAATGGGGTGAATTTTTAATCCAAACAATAACAATCAAAGTGTCAGTTATCTATATGGCTGCTGAAAACGTTAGCAGAAAAATCTGACAAATGTACTTATCACATAATTCCAAGTACTTTTATATCCCATTAGAAAACTTAATTGTTAAAATTTTACTGAAGTTAGGTATGTGAACGAGTAGTCGACTTG